TCCCCCAAACCCTTTTTTCCCACCGCTTTGCAGCCGCGCTTGTGTGTTCGATTGCAAACATTGTTCAACCATACAGTTCTCGCCGACCTTTTCGCCTTGCCGTTCCCTCACCATTTTCGACCTGGGAATTGAGCTAACTGAAAACCAATGTCAAAGTGTGTCTCTCTATGTTTCTCTTCTTGTTTTCTCCCTTTTCATCCCTTGTCCTTCCTTCCTTGGACCTGTCAACCCGTCTGTGCTTCTCTTTTTCTTTGTCTTTTTCCGTTTTGATTTTGGCTAGAGGAAAATGCAAAAGTTTTGCTTACTACAAGCGCTTCGGCTTTTTTAGCTCCAGGTTCTCTACTGACCAAACGTCTGAGAGCAAAACCCATTGCCAGCACTTCACGAATTTCTGGCCCATGTACTGCAGCACGATGTTCCTCCAGTTCGAGCACACGCTTCGAGCCCGAACTGTTTATGCACTCCCCTAACCTGAAGGAGATCGAGACCAGCGTATGGTAGCCTGCCCGGACACTGTGCCAAATTAAATTAAGCAGAACGTGCTTTCAAAAAATACCTTGCGATGTTCACGTTGCACATTGCTGACACTGCACCTTTGAACTCCGCTGATGAAGGGGTGAAGGTACCTTCAAGTGGCACAACACAGTTGAAGTAGCTACGAACACGAATGGCGTCTTGGGATACAGCTCGTTCGCAATGTTCATGCATTGGCCAGCCATGTTGCGGGTGAAGAGCTTTAAACCCATTGGATCCCGATGATGATTTGAGGTCTAAGACTTGGGAGTGCTGAAAAAACTTGTGCGCCATGGTCGCTATGGCTCTGGCGGCAGCTGATCTCCATGAAGTAGTTTTCCTCGGCAGGATCTCGCCCTAACATCCCCACATCTGTGGAGCAACCCAAGATGAAACAAACAGGAGCACTTTAGGGAGTCGAAAACAATGGTAAACGCTTAGTGTCAAAACAATAGCGTGCCCTCATCAATCTATGCAAAGGCTCAGGGGCTCGACGGCCTCAACTGACCCTACTAGCAAGAACTGGTGCAGGCTTCCAAGACAAAAGGTGCTCCAGTTCTCAATTCTCAGGGTGCTCCAGTTGTGGCTCTGGCGTTTGGCTGTGCTGCCAAAATCATTGGCTGGCGAGCGGAGGAACAGTCCTGGCAGGCAATGAAGTGCTTGGAAAATGTCTGAAGACCAAATGTTTGGGGATCCCAAAGCCTGGACTCCTTTGAAACCAACAAGGACGCTACTAGTAGCTCCTGGCCTTACTACTAGGAGCAAGAAGCTACTAGGAACAAAGGGCATCGCTACTAGGAGCAAAGGACGCTACTAGGGGCGCTCCTGGCCTTACTAGAAGAGTGGCCAACAGACCCCCCCCCATGCATATCCTGGATGCTGAAGTTTTCGAAACTGCTGCTGAAGCTCACGGTCTCCTCGGCAAAGAATTCAGTTTGCAGCTTGCCTTGAATCTCAGGAACCTCTTTTTCTGCCCAATTTCTCATAGGCAGCCAAGAATAAAACCCTGCAGAAGGGAAGTCCTGATGCAAATCGAGAAGAATTTTGGACCTCGGTGCACACTGCTTGGCCGTCCAAAGTCATGATCTGACACATGTGCCTCATTCTACCAAGACCCTCTCCAGATTCACTGCAGGGCTGAACTGCCTCACATGAGACTCGACACGTCTCGTCTTCCCAGGTCCCTGCTGCTTCATTCTCGACTCGGCAAAAAGCTTCCCCGTCGCCTGCGATTCTGAATGTGAGAGTTCCCATCGGAGAGAAAGAAAAGCGTTTCCAAGTTAAGTGTACTTGTGTCCTTGGAGGTTACTCCGAGACCACTTTCCTCCAGTGGTTTCGAAGCAAAAAGGGATGTTGTAATACCTTGCCCTCACGAAGAGTACCAAGTGAAGTGAGCGTGAAATAACATGGCACGCAGAGGCCGCACATCGCTGGGGCTTCCGAACCTCATCGACCCATTGCAGTTGGCCCTGTTCCAAGAAGACCCGGATCCTCCACAGCAAGGGGTTCCCAACCACAGGTGGCATATCACCCGGTGGCGTGCTCTTTGCGAAGCCTCAGGTGTGAATGCGACTGAAAACCAACGGAACAGGAGTGTCAAAGCTTTCGAGACTGACTGTTGAAACTAGTTCAAACGCATGCAATGTGTGCTTTCGAACAGTTGCACCTCGACTGACAAAAGAATTGTTCAAATACTATGTGGACCGTCACATCGTCCGCTCCGCCCGCAATTTCCTTGTCCCAAAATCTGAAGCGACCTCAGGGTTCTCTGCATATCGTTGACTGAGAGAATCAACCTCCTCAAGCGCCCTTCAGTCATGGTCTTGGAACCATCTGGCCTCCCATGAGTGTCTGATGGAAGACCTATCCTCTTGTGGACGAAATAAAGGCCTCCCTTCCTTTTCACTTCCGGATCCCTCCGGATCCCGATACGCCTACGCCCAGCGGCTGATGAAGCTTCGGAAGTGCATCGGTGAGAAGTGGAAGATGGCGCCCCGTAGGTCCACCGAGATCCTCGCGACCGGTCAGACAAAACGCGTTCCACGGAACCCGAAGTGTAAAAATCACATGACCGTCCGTTGACTTTAGTTTTGGTAGAAGACCTAAGACTAAGACCTGCTAGTAGTGGTATAGTAGTAAGGGGTAGCACCCAATGTTTGTCGGATTTCCAGGTAGTGTGGATGATGAGTTCGCAGATTGGGGACTTCCACCGCAACTGCCCCAAGGGATTCAAAAGACCCCTTCCATAAAGCTCCTCAGGTCTGCTCCCTCAGCTTCTTTCACCTTGGCCTGTAAACGCGCATTGAGGAAAGTCCGCCTTCCGTTGATTAACCTTGTCTCTGAAGTTGTTTGATCACAAAAAACTTTATCCGTGATCAATATGATATGAGCACACCATGAATTCGAGGCGAATTCCCAATACATCTGATTCATGCGATGCCATGTGAGATGAGGTATAATTGACTCATGTGTCTGGTCAAAATATCACCAAGATGGCCAGAAGCTGAGCAAGTTCGTCGAACTGTCGAAGCACTCGTGAGCGACCAAACTTAGCCTCTAGATCCCACGCTGCCACCAAAGACAAAGCGACTTTCGCCTTTGAAAAAGGGAATCTGGTCAGTATGGCAGTCAAACACAAAGTCGACAAAGCAAACATGCTTGAGACAAACAGGAGCCAAGTCGGTTGATGCTAAAGAAAGAGAAGAAAGGAAGGAACAAATGACTGTTGCTGGAAAAAAGATCCGCTGTAGGAAATCAGTAGACTTCGCGGATTCATGTGGATTCCGCGGTCCCCACGTGCTTGGACTCCGATTCCGCGCGGGCCAAGTTGAACCTGGACCAATCAAGTTCAGGTGACGTGCACACATAGGCTTCGCTTGTTGCTACAGCATCGAATTATGGATGTTTATATATATATATACCTGGAGTGAAGATTCACCAATGCGATGCAGCGATGCATGAATACAGACACTCTGCTTCAAGCCATTTGCCGTTCTCGTGCATGTTCTGGATTCGCTCTCAAAGTCACCAGAGTGCTTGCAAAAGAGGATACATAGATATAAATAGTCCAATAGTATGACCCACCAACACTTTTCTTTGCAAGTTTCAGTGATCGAGCCCCTGAGACTGCAGTTCCAACCACTCAACACCCAAGTGCATTGCTGAAGTGCTAAGAGGTCAGGTTTGTGTAACGATGTGTCTTCAACCTAACCTCCCAACGACCAAAGCAACTGACCCCCATGTTCTTTTTTCATTTGTTTGGCCTTTTGGGGAGGTAGGCTGCGAGAGGTGAGGTAGCTAGCTAGAGGTAGCTAGGGATTCGCTTGTAGGAACTGAGGTAGCTACTACCTGCAAGTGGACGCTACTAACTCCTGGACGCAGGATAGCTCGCGCTAATGATTTGGTTCCTAGATTTTTACGGAAACTTAAGGTTGAAACTCTGCCTCCTCCCAGCGCTCATCTCCAGCAGCCCCATATTCAGTCCAATTCCTCAGCCGATTTCAAGGGGGACCGTCGAGAAGCAGAGCTGTCAGGCTGTCACTTGGAACCAATTGAAAAAAGAAATAGAAAACTTCATGAGGCCATGACGAGCAAAACCTTGGAAGAGGTCGAAGTACAAGGCCTGGCATGCAAAACGTCACTTCCTGTGAGAAGCATTCAAAGCCGTCGCGCTTTGTTTGCGGCGCCGAATCTCTCATTTGCATTATAGAATTTACCACACTCAACAGATTTGCTCATGTGTCTTTTTTTGCCTGCGTTGCCCTCACCCCCAATTGCACCTACTTAGTTAAGTCAGGGCTAAGTAACTACTAGGCAACCTGCTACTAGCTAGGACGCACTCTTCATTTGGTTCCTAGATTTAAAAATGAGTCTTCGCATTCTGCCTGTTCTGGCTTTTGGCTGAACTTCCTGAGTCCCTGGCAGCTTTGTGACCTTTGAGCTCCACGGCTTCTTCAGGCAAACAGCGGAAACGCATTGAGATGACACCTTGGACGCGCACATCGAGGCACATCGAGGCATACGAAGGTATCAAAGATTCTCTTTACAGGATGCTTGGGGCTGTTCCAAGCAGTCTAGGATGGAAGTTACTGCCAGTACAGCCACTCTGCCGTTTCATGTCTGTGCACACACAATATACGTCCGAGTCATGTCTACTATATATATATATAAATATGATATTCTGCGCTTTATCGGTCATTAGACTTGC